GTGGGAGCCTTTTCAGGTGAGCGCTTTTTTCCTATTTTTTTTTCTCCTCTCTTTTCCTCCTTTCATCTCTTCAGGTTAGGATAGCTGTGCATTTATTTCAGCTATGGGAAGATTAGAGGAACTAGCTAGACAAAATTTCAAATGAGGATGTGTTTTCAGATGTTCGATGAATGCCTCTGACAGGTTTATGAAGTACAAGGCTGCATCCTCAGCAAAGTTGTCCTGCACGTTACAGAGATGAAATATTTATTTTTAAGGAAAGTAAGCAGTAACTGCAGAGAGACTTTGCTTCTACCGAGAGGATACTTTCCAAGGGAACAAACCCCTCGGCGAACCAAGCTGCATTATATCTTGGTGTGGGATAGAGAAGTCAGCAGTGGATGTCAGCAGCTTCCCACTCATTCCTGAAATTTAGTTTCAGATGTTACAGAACTGCTGTTTCACTTTCAAGGATATAAGAAACCACTCTGTACTTCCTATGCAGAATCCCCGGGTGGGCTTTGCTTTTCGGGATGGACAGAAGGCACCAGTAGAGAACGGGTGCGGGTGCACCGTTCGACTGCAGGGGCTCCCTGCAGGTCGAATGGCTGCAGTAGTCCACACTTCCCTCTCAGACTTCTCCGGGTATCAGATGTTCCCTACCCCTCTCATTCATCGCGACACTGACAGCAAACCCTTTTCGTGTTTACAGAGATTCAGGTAGTTAAGGTTGCTCTCAAAGAAAGCCAGAAATCGTGCTCCGGGATGCACGTTATCCCCCCCTCCCCCAAACTACCTGGCTGACCGCACCATCCCGGGGAGCCGCCTCTGGCTGTCCTGCTCTGTGCGATGACCTTCCCGAACAGACAGAAGAGCAAGACCCGCTGAGCCCGGCTCAGCTCAGAAGCCGGAGAGTCAGAGGGAGCGACAAATTGCTTTGCTGGATCCAGCAGCTGTTTTACTCATTAGCTTCCATTGTTCTGTGACTATCCCCAAGTCCCGGAGCAGATGCAATTAGCAGCAACTAATGACAGATCTCAGACAGATCACGGAAGACTGAGCCTCCTTAATTTTATGTAATGGGAAAATTTAACGCGGCGGGAATAAGAATGCATGAGGAAGGAGGAAAAAAAAAAAAAAAAAAAAAAAAAGTCCGCCGCACGTTTTGGAGGTCACTGTATGGTATCTGTATGGTATTTCCAATCCACATCTCAGTTGTTAGGCTACCTGGGTGGGACAAAAGCGGGTGCGGTTAAAGGACAAGGGAGGTAGAGCAGGTAAACCCGGCTCCGATTTCAAGGGCTCTGGGTTGTTTGTTTTTTTCCTCCCCGGAGACAGCTCCTCACAAGGTCTTGCAGGCAGCGCGCCGTGCAGCACTCCCTTGCAATGTCTGAGCTCACACGCCACGATTGCACATTCCTTTAGCGGCTGAAATGGAACACTGATTTCTAGTAAGTCTCCAGGAAAAAAACAAACAAACAAACAAAAAACAAACTGAAAAACAAACAGTGCTCTGAAACACTTCTCACCAATGCTTCAGCAAGAGCATTTTTGGTTTGTTGTTTTTTTTTTTTTTTTCCCAGGGGTGGAAATGTCAAAAAGTGACAGCTATCTAATAGTCAGAGCCTGCTCTCAGATGTCTGTTAGTGTAAAACTTGGCAAAAAAAAAAAAAATTAGAAAAAGGTTTAAGGCACTGAAACGAGACCAAGCACATTAGACCTCAGCTCCCAAAGCTCCCAAGTCTGTCACAGACTTCTCGTGTGACCTTGGGCAAGTCTCATCCTTCTGTAGCTCAGCTCTTCATCTGCAAAATGGAAACACGGCCCCTCTGCCCCTTTATTTTCATTAGCCCCTGTGAAGCACGGACGATTACACTGAGTACACCCAGCTCCTACCACAGCTGCGCTTCGCTGTTCCTCCCAGGGCAGGAAAAACAGCAGCGTGGAAAAAAAACACCGGTATGTGTTGGTGTGTGTGTTTCAATGACTTTTCTAAGCAGTTCTCTGGTTTTTCATCTCTTATAGCGGCTGAATCTTTTAACTACAAAAAGTTTTTCGAGATGGTAGGATTGAAAAAGAAGAGCCCAGAAGATGTGAAGAAGGTTTTCCATATTCTTGATAAAGATCAGAGCGGCTTCATTGAAGAGGAAGAATTGAAGTAAGTAAAATTACATTCTTTCTCAAATACCCCTGCCTGAAGAGTCTAATTTCCTGTGGGTTATTTTTTCAAGACTCTAGGCAGTAACATACAGCTGAAACTCTTGACTATATTTGTGTGCTGTGCCAGTTGTTTGCCGAGCACATGATCTAAAGAATGTTGGAGTTAGCTAGTTGCCACTTGAATTGCAGGATCCCTGAAACACACGAACGGTCAACTACCTTACAGGTAGTTCTTCAAATGCAGTTTCAGAGTAAGGTGCTTCTGAATGTTAAAGAAGGTCAAAAACAGAACACACAACGCTGGATTCCAACTTGTGTCTCGAATCAGTGGTACAAATAGATACGTAGTGTAATTGTTCCGTGGAAAAAAATATTAAAAAACCAAACCCAAACCAAGAACAAACAAACAAAAAAGAACTCCAAACAAACTTTCCTTTATTTTCTATGCCTCCTCCTTAGGTTTGTCCTGAAGGGCTTTACCCCAGAAGGAAGAGACCTATCAGACAAAGAAACGAAGGCTCTTCTGGCTGCTGGAGATAAGGACGGTGATGGTAAAATTGGCGCTGATGGTATGTAATTAGAGGAGTAAATTTGACATAACAACCGCATATTGCCCTTACACATAAGAACTGAGGAAACCTAGGAATCACAGGGGGCTGTGACCTTCTGAAGGGCACAGTTTGGGTTTAATGAAATGCCAAGTCCTGCTCCATTTGCTGGACCTTGCTCGGAAGCGTTAGAGGAAGAGGAGCCGAGCTGTGACACTAGAGGGGGCAGGAGCTCACAGAACCCGGCTGCGGGTCGGGCACTCCGCAGCGCAGGACTCGGTACCCAGCCAAACTCTACCTCAATTTGTAATTTGTCTGTTGATATCATGGAGTGAAGATCAGGACACTGCGAGTTCAGAGACTGGGGTTTGACTATAAAGCTTGGAAAGAATAAAAGCTGAGCACCAGGATTTGTGCTTGATGTTTAGTTAGCAGGAAAGTAGTGCATGACTTAGCAAAGCAATGCTCTCAAAATTCAAAGTACACCCATTTTGCTACAGAATTTCTATACAATAACAGTCTATCCAGCTTATGCTAGTGTTTACGTGGGTCTTCACACCTAAGGAAGCTTGTCAGTCCCTTTTACTGAATATGAGAAATACAAGAAAAGAACAACTTTTCCTCTCACAGCATTGCTTAAAAAGCTTGTGCTGTTTGCTATTCCCCCTTGGGATGAATCAGCTTAGCCCACACACAAAATTTCTCCTTTTTCCTCTTTTTTTGGAGGTGAGAGTGAATGAAACACACTGAAGAAGACAAGAAGAGATGCAATTCTAAACTAAAGCTTTCCTCACTGAAGGAGATAGAAGTTTGTGGCCAGAGTACTAAACCACCTAGAGAGCAGTCAGTTGCTAGGGTTTTGACATATCAATAAGCCATATAATAAGTTGAAATCTAAAAAATACCTAAACCCCCTCATATCTCTCTGTGTTACCTAATCTCTGCAATTTTAAAAAAAAGTTACATCACAAAAAAAAAAAAAAAAAAAAAAAAAGGTCAATTAAAAGAGAAATAAAAAGAAAGTTAACTAATACAGTCTCCCAGCTTAGAAGATGACACACAAAACCAGCCACTGACATTTAGTCAGGAGATGCACACTAGCATATCAGTGACTATGGCCGTGTACCTAGACCAAAGCCTCTTAATTTCTCCAATCATGACTATATTATGGTTTAGGCAAAGCTCCTGCTAAACTTCAGCAGTGCTGCTGAATCCAGTGTGGGTGTCATTTCTTGAAACTTCATATTCTTTGTTATACAGGTCTTCTTTATACACACTAAAATTAGTGATAGTAGTACTAAAATCACTGGGCAAGTTTTTCAAAAGAAAACTCAATTCAGGTAAGTAAGCTGATAAATTTTCAGCTATTCCAGAAGGCTGCAAATCAAAATTAGTGTTAATTGGAATAAAAGAACAATATTGCATAATTATTTTGGCTTGTACAAGAAAATATAACATTAACCTTCATATTTAAGACTACCACAACTTTTTCTTTGAAACAGTGCCTGAAACCCAGTACATTGCAATAAAGCAATATGAAATGCCTCTTCTCCTTATCTCTTTCTTCTGCAGCTTTTACTGTTCCCTAACTTTGAAATGGAAATACTCTGTGTTTACACTTGATAATGAGAAGAGAATTATGTGCTTTTTTCTTTTGATTCTTCTGACCATATCCCTACCATACAACACTATCAGTTTCTTTTCCGTTTCTTAAATTTGACTTTAACAGCCAATTTTTACACCAGAAAGGCTTGAAATACATACAAAAGTTAAGAGCTGAGACTGTGACCAAAGGACAAGGAGGACAGATACTTCCCAGCTTTTCCTTTGGCCTATAAATCCAATTTAAGAATATAACTGCATATGTAAATAAAATGTAAAGTCACAAATGTTAATCCCATTCATATGCAGTATTGCAATGCTGTATTTCTGTTGCAAACTCATTTTGTTTCCCTGCAGCTGAATTGTCAGGCATCACTTCTACCCCTTGTTTCATCAGCTTCCTAAATCACTAAACGATTGCAAACAAGCAGCCTTTCATAGGGGTTAATGTTAATTCTCCTGATGGCCCTTCCTGAGGGAATGCTGTCCCTCAGGAGTCCACAGCCCTTGTAAGAACTGATCTTTAGGGATTTTTAAAACCACAGAGACAACTAGCTCAGATGTATCATCACAAACATTAATCCCAACCTAATCAGCCTTCTTCCAGCTGGGATCTCACGTTACAAATTTTCTGTTTTCTTTTGATTCTTCTTTAAACCTTTTCTCATTCTTGCAAGACCATTCAGCTCTGAAATAGTTTCAGCAGTTTACCTCTTGTCCGGTCACAGTTTGAGCTTGTGGCTGATGAAGCAGTTTCAAAGTGCTGAAAACTTGCAGCCAGTTCCTGTAAGACATGATCATCTTCTATGCAGTGTCAAACCCCCTCCACATTCCACCAATGTGGTCAGAAGATGATGAATCTGAAAAAAAACTGCAGGTCCAGGTTATCTCATAACACAAGCAAGCTTAGCTTCTAGTTTGGGCTGAAAAATCATGCTGAAGCAGCTCTACTAGTTTTAGGAAAATATTTATAAGAAAGATGAGAAAAAAATATGACTATTTCTAGTAATAATATTTTTTAAATCTATTTTGTGTATTGGCATTGGACATGAACATCATGCCTTTGTTTCTTAATATTAATAGACTTGAGAAAGTACATAGAGAACTTTCAAAGATCATGCACTGTGGGCAGCAAAAATCCAAATTTTTATCCCTGTAAATCAAAATGTTGTAAAAATGTGACATTAAATATGCAAAATTGCAACTATTAAATCATGACATTTTAGCATAAAAATGTCATGATTTAATAGTTTAGGAAACTTATAAAGTGTCCTAAACAGATTTGCTGCTGTAAAGAAAATGTAAAAAACACAATCTGATGAGAGAAATCACAGACCTACAACATGTCCTCTGTAATCATGTCTGTGATTTCAGTAAAATACTAGAGGACACACATTAGGCTGGTGTATAGTACTGAACTGTACTGAACACGGTGTCCTCTCCTTTTAAGTCAGAGCTTTGACACAAAATAGCTAGCAAATTATTTTATATGGCAAAATGGTCTAAATCCTTGCATTTTAAAGCCACTATTTGTGCAAAGAAAGACATAGTTTAATTTTGTTTGGAAGGGTAACTACAACTGGAAACAAGGATGTAGTAAATCACAAGGATTCCCTTACTAACAGGCCAGAGGCATTAACCATTTACAAGGGACTGATATATCCTGCCTTATCTCAGAAGTTCTGCATATATGAGTACACTTTGTAACAATGCTTCTACAAGCCACCTGTGGTTGGACTAACCTCCATACAAAAATGAGTAGTGAACTAATTTAGAAGATTATCCAACTGGAACGTCTTTGAAATATTTAAAATACATTAAAAATCTGGGAAAAGTGAAATTGTTGCAATTATTCAAGAAGGAGTATTTTATGGTTTGCTGGCTATCAGAAAGTACCTGTGAAATATATTGCTATTAAGTGATAATAGCACTATCAAAATGCATTATAGAAAATATTTGGCTGCAAGGCTGAATAACCTTTTCCAAATATATTCTGTAGATACAAATTATTATAAAAGGTATTTAATTTAGCTGTAATAAGTATTACAACTTGTTTTAACAGTATATGCATAGTTAGTTTTCCCTTTTGGAAAGGTTTGATCCATTGCAGTTCATGTTTCTCTCTGTAGGACTTATTCACACAAAGATTTAATAATCATGGCCTTTCTCCTTTTCTGCGCAGAATAGTTGGGGTTTTTATCACAAGCCCTTTATGTTATCTCTTGAATTCAGTTTGCAACATTTTCAATCTATGTACCCACCATGTACAGGATTTATACATGTTTTGTGTTAAGTAATCTGCATCACTAATCCTAATTTGGATTTGCATCTTTCAAAATGATGGATAAATTTGGAATTAATTTAATCTCTCTGACATTTTTTATTTCTCAGTCTGGTTGGTATGCATTTGGCAACATATTTTTTGGACATGCCATCAAAAATTCTGTTTGCACACAACAGTCATTTAAGATCTCACTTGCTTAGAGTTTAGCATTTTTCAACTGAACACCAGAATATTCTTTAAAATGCCTAGATTTAATCTTCTATCTTTTTCAGTTGCCAGACTTTACTCTTCATTATGTCAAGCTTCAGTAATTTTTTTTCTTGAGCCTTTACAGATGACTCCCTCCCTATTTGTCATTTTCCTCTCAGCTGATTATGTTAAACCCATAAACCACTCTCTCTGCATATCCTCTAATCCCTTTATCGTCTTTGTTGCTCTTCTTGGGATTCCCTCCAGTCTGTCATTTTCAGTGCTCTGAGGCACAAACAACTGTGCAAGGTATTCTCATGTGTAACTCTTCCAAGGTTAGATGGAGTTAGGAATCATAACCAGTCAGCCATTCACCAGGATACAAATGTGCCTTTTCCATGCTTTGTCTCCCTGCTGAAAGGCATGATATACACTACAGCATAAAATAACCCCAAACTGCAGATAGATATGTTGATGTAAATATTATGGATATACCACTAATAAAAGCCAATTAGAGCCAGGGCAAAATCCTGGCTCTCTGACACCACAGGAATTTTTCTCATTCTTACAACACAGTCCAAATTGCTACATAGGTTGGTATCAGCCTTCTGGTTTTGTAATCTGTCATTTTCACTCAATCTACAATTACAAAATTGAGTTTAAATGCAATATTATTATAATATGGGACACAAATACTTTGAAAGATTCATTAATGATTCTCTTTGCCAAACTCTGATATAAAAGAAATTTATCTCACAGCAAGATTAAATTTCTAGTTCTTGCCTTCATCTCATTGAGATTTACAAAGAAATAACCGAGAACTAATCAAGTTCTTCAGATGAACAGTGGTTCATCTTACAATCTGGCATGTATAGCATTTCTCCCTTACTATCAAAAAATCCTTTCATTTCACTGTAAGTTTTCCCAAATCATACTTTCCCTTTAATTAACTTGAATTTCTTTGCTTTTCTGTTATTGTGATGTTTCTGCTACACGAGTGACTCTGTAACCATTGTAATATGCTTCCTCCTTCTTTAAATTTTGGTTTCTTAAATATTTTTTACAATTCTTTCCTTTCTCCAGAATTTGCAACTATGGTGGCTGAATCATAAAGGCTTTGACCAATGCAAACCCTTCACCCATCCTTCACTGCCCAATTCCAACCACCTCCTGCTGACTGCTTTGGCTCCTGTTCTATTTATTTATGTTATTTTATACTCCAGCTCTGTTCTCTGCAATCCTGCAACTCTGTAATTGTGCTGAAAGACACTGTTAAAATAATAAAGGTCACATCAGTCTGGGCTTTCTTCTCTCTCACTACAACTTGTTTCTTATTTCATGTAGGCTTGGCACACGCTGAGAGAAAATGTTACTTGTTTTTTTTGCTGACATCCCTGCTGCTTTATCCCTAGCCAGGGTAAAGTAGGAAGAAATTTTTAAAATTATTTTGGATAAAACATGCACATAATGAGTCATTCAGTTCAAGTCCTGAACTGTGGCAAAACTGACTGCATTATTTTTAAGCCATCCCTGCTAAATGGATGCATACTCATAGCCTGGAAAATCTCTAGTGATGGAAAATCTCCAGTGATGGCAATTACCCAACTTCATTTGGCAGTTCATTCTTTGAACTTAATCAGTGTTATAGCTAAAAAGTATTTCCTAATATTTAAACTACATCTCCCCTGCTGCATTTTGGTGATCAGTAAATTGATCGTCATCTGCATTATTTGTTAAATTTGCCCAATGCAGGGGGATTTTTGGATAAAAGGCTTGACAGGAATATCAGTTGGTGCCAATCATACATGAAGATAACTTCGTAAACTATTAAAAAGCAGTCGCTTCGGAAACACAGGGTATGTTTACTAGCAATGTTACACAACTATCTAGCACAGGAAGAATGCCATACTCACAAGAAATAACAACATGAATTTCAGGAAAAAGAACACCAAGATTCAGGTGTGACACTGCAGTTGATAATCCCACTGTAAAAACAGTAAATCAGAAAATCCCATGCAAAAAATTTTATTCTAAAACTTTACCAGATCAGCGAATATCTTCTTTGGAACTACCTATAGGAAACTGGGACTTATGCTAAGGAAGTGATTAGCCAATAGTAAGCCTATGGCAGAGCTCAATACTTATTTCCCAAATCCTGTTCAATAACTTTGGCACCAAGCTTACACTTTTTACCTGTGTTGTTGGGGAGTGTTTTGCTTTTAAAGCAAAGATTAAAGCAGGGGAAAAATCCTTTCAGGCAACATCTCCCCCACATCTTGACAGAACATTGATTATTACTGGAGTAAAAAGGAAGGGTATTTTCCATTTCTGTATTCCAAACTATTCCCTGCACCAATAATACCTTATTCAATTTAGATTTATTATCACCAGTTCAGTGGAGACAACAAGATAAGGCTGAAACCCTGTCATCATCACATTGTACAGAATACCATCCTCTGCCACAGCGATTATCCAATGCTACTCGGGAAGCCAATAAATGTTCCTAAAGCCATTTTAGATCCTCACTCTGTAGTAACTCGCAAGGAAGACTTTTTGCTGAAGATGCTGTGCGTTCAAATGAAATCCTTTGTTTTGCACACTGTATATACGGTTCTGAAGGATGTATTGATTTTTAAGTATTCTAAATAAAGCAAATGAAAACGGATTGCAGTGGAGCGAGTTTATTTCCTGCTTTTTCTCGGCAGCTGCTGACCTCGCGTGGCACTAAAGCCTCATTACAGGAGCACACAGAGCCACCGAAAAGGCATCCGGCTACTGCAGCAGCGAGAATGAAGGTCCAGGGAATACGAGAACCGACATAAAAGTTGCTGTATAAACAAAGCCCTTTACAATCCCTTTCTGTTCTCTGAAGCTGCAAGATTTGTATTTTAATGCTTCGCTGGATGGCACGAAAGCTGAGATTTTATCCAGGGCTTTAGCAAAAAAAAAAAAAAAAAAACCAAAAAAAACCCAAAAAAAACCCTCACACCCCAAAATCAAAAACCAATAGAACAAACAGCAAATAAATAAAGCCACTAATGAGTAAAAAAAAAAAATACAGCCGATTACGGGAAATAAATCAAGTTACAGCAACATCAATGGCAATATTTCACTAGCATAAATGTCTGAATACCCCAATGATTCCTGCTTCAGTCTTTCTTCATGCTGTTACCTCAATCACTCAGGAACAAGCAACACTGAGTGCCTAATTTGGCCTGAAAATTTTCAGTCCTCTAGTAATGGAGAAGGTGAAAATAAATGTCCTTTATTTTCAAACGGAAAAAAATTACAATGGGTACTTTTCATGCTGACAATATAAGATATTCTAAATCTGCATTTGATTGGTGTATTCAAATATGCAACTGATATACTCAGATCCTGTATTCTGAGATTTTATACTCTGAATTCCCAAAAACTCTATTTAAACACACTCTATTTAACCCCCAACCCCCCCCCTCCCCGCAGCTGCATTTTAAATTAAAAGTTCAAATTTCAACATGTATCTATCGCTGACGAAAGGAAAAATTCAAATACAAGTGTAATACAAGTAAATCTCTGCCCAGAGACAAAATGAATGTTTTATCAATTGCCATCAAACTACTACTATACTGCTGAATCTTCAATGTCTTTCTTAGGCTCTTATTTTCCCCCACAAATTTCTTCCAGATCTCCAAATCTTCAATTGTTTCATTTCAAATTTTTAACAAAATTCATCATTTTCCTTTTTGTTGGCTGTTTTCTAAACATGATTCAAAATACAGTGAACAAAGGCAAAATTTGAAGTTACAAAAATATAAAAAAAACATTTCAAATACAAAATATTAAGTTATTAATTCTCATATTGCTCTTCCTATAATGTCTTTGAAACTGTCACAGAAACTACTATAAAGCCTGAAGAAAGCAAAATTTGCTACAAAATTTAATCAGGTTTTCTGCACAGTGTGGATTACAGTATGCTTGACAAATACAAAAAGTCTACACTACCCTGCAATTTAACGTTTCATGAAGAAAGATGTTTTAATTTTCAGATGCATAAGCAAAGGAGAGAAATTACATTTCTCCAAGAAACATTTACCTTAAATTTCTTAATTGCCATCTTAAATCTTCTTTGCCCTGAACAGTAAGTGTTCCATAATTTTCTTCCCTGTTGTAATACAGTAGAAGTTATGAAACGAAAAATAAAGACTTCTCAGCCATCCTGTTGAAGACAAATTTTTAGATAATCAGTACATATCCTTTACTTAGTTCCATATCCAATGGTTTGCAATAAGACAAATGAATGACAAATAAAAAAAATAGGCACTACTTGTGCCTTGTTCATACTGGTATGCTGTATTACTAGAGAAGAAATTATTTGCTCTGAGCTACAATTCAAGAGGAAGAAGAGCCAAGTCCCGACAAATGGCATTAGCATTTAACAAAAAGAGTTTGCATTAGCAGACTGCCTCCAACTCTTAATATTTCTCCAATCACCGTTTACCATTACTAAATCCTTAACAAACAAATGCATAATTGT